ATGTGTTACGTAAGGTTTAAGGAATTATGCACATTCCGCTGAGTATCAGACTTAGATAATGGGACTTTAATGATGCTGAGATATTTGTAAAACTCTGGATCGCGGCTGTCTGCGGTGGGGAACGAACGCGCTATTGTCCTTTCCGAGGAGTAACGCGTTCACCACCACACCATACGGGTCCTTCGTTTCGTCTGTATCTCAGCTAGTTCTATCGACCGGAAAGGACAACAGCGCGTTCGTTCCCCACCGCAGACACCTGCGGTCCGGAGTTCTACAAATATCTCAGCATCATTAAAATTATATTTCGCAATATATACCCTGCCGTTAAAAAGAGTAGGCAGTAAATAATAAGTTAAAATTAGATAATAGGATTGCGTTGGATGTGACTAGAATGTTTCACTTTTGGGTCGGAGTGTGGCAGCAGGCCGGTACAGTGCATGTCTCACAGCAAAACTTAACAGACATAGGGTAATACCTTTTATTTCGTGTGGTCAGTTTTATTTCGTAACTTTTGTTCCTGCCTTTCACACCGTGTGAATTATATGTGCCTCATTTTGTACCATGCGTTAGAGATGTTTCAATCGTAGAGGAATATTGGCTTTTTTTAAATAAAATAAAGCCACTTATGAAGTAAAATCAGGTGAAAAAGTTGGACAGGTCAAAAGGATTCTATCCGATAACGCAGATATGTCGTGTCGATATGTTAGGTGTCACAGAACTAGTGCATGCGAACTGCTATTATTCCACCACGACAACCAATTGTTGATCGGTATGCAAAATGCCCCGTATAATAAGTTTCTTACTGAACCCACCGATGTGGGAAGGTTCCTCGATGATTTCTTTATCACCAAGGCCACGATTTGTCGGTTTAAGCAGAGCAAATAGTTTTAAGAAATTGTACAAGAGCCCAAATGAATTACGACGCCTCACACGTGCAGTCGCGAAGATCACTTCTGCAGAGAAAAGTTCTAAAGTAATTCTCATCCGTCTATGTAGCACTCTAGACTTCCTACGAAAACACTGTGACTTGGCGTGGGTTTGACATCTGCTTGGGTAGTTAGTCGATTCTTTGTTAATAGGCTAATTTAAAGTGCGCAGGTCAAAATAAACCAATTAGTAGGCAGCAAGTTTGTAATCTTGAATCAGTCCTGTAAACGTGGCAAGTACGACAAAAGCGGTTGCACTAACGGCCGTTTGCACAAATGGTTCCACTGTAATAAACTTTGTAGTCACTTCTATTTACTACCTATCCTTTTTCATGACAGGGTATGATGTGAAAAATAACCTCAACGATGCTGAGATATAACTATTGTAATGCTGAGATATTTGCAAAACTCCGGACCGCAGCATTACAATAGTTATATTTCGCAAAATACCCTGTCGTTAAAAAGAATAGGCAGCAAATAAAAAGGTTAAGATGATGCTGAGATATTTGCAAAAGCCGTAAAGCAGGTGTCTGTAGTGGGGATCGAGCTCGCTATTACCCTTTCCGGGGATAACGCGTTCACGACCACACTTTGCGCGTCCTTCGTTTCGCCTTTCTCTCAGCCAGTTTTCTACCTAGCGCTGCTATCAGCAATCACCCGTAAACGAGATTGATCTGAGGAGCACAAATCGGCATTGAACCCAGTCCGGAGTTTTGCAAATATCTCATCATCGTTGTAGTTGTAATAAACTTTCTATTTTCAGGCAGTAGAGAAACGATTCAACCGACTGGGTGTACTGTGCTGTATCAGTGCGTGGTGGATTTGCTGTATTGGCGTAGTCTTCTGCTTGTATGGACATCATTCAAAGTCAGGATGTCCATGAAGTTCATCATCGTCTAATCGTTCTTCAGGATGATGCGCAGCGACTTCTGTAACAACTGCTATAAGGAGAAGTTTCTCGTCAAGGCTCATGAAAGACGACGTCTTCAGGTTTCCAACACTAACTTTTAGCAGTTAACATTTAGTGCTACCATTCAAAATCCACACTAATAACCCTTAGAGAGATGACCTTAGCAGTCTTGGTTGAAAAACTACTAATTCTTTTTTCCTTCGTCCAGATCTTTAAAGGAACATCATGGGCCACTTTTAATTCAAATTGTAGTGATCAAACTCAAATATATTCTTAGAAAACAAATTTAGAAAGCTGTCTAACATAAGAATTCATTATCTTTCTACAGTCACTGTTTTGAGTGCAAGTCAACGACTTTTCATACCGAGGAACTATTCTATAAAAACTCTCACAGGCAAAAACTTTCCAACTTCAATACATTCCGTATTTTAATTAGTTTTAATTCCCAAACTTAATTGTAGTTATTTTACACGTTGCAAAAGATATCCTGAGAGATATCATGACCTGATCAGTAGGCCATCGGAAGGTTCAAACTGGAGGAATACTGTGGAATTTTTACTTAATGCCTATTAAAAAGTCGTTTAGTCGGTCTCGAAATATTGTTATTGCCTATTCTTTTTCTTTTTCATGGCAAGGTATAATGTGATCTATAACCACAATAATGCTGAGATATTTGAAAAAGGGCTGAGAGAAAGGTTGAAGGAAGGACCCGCATGGTGTGGTGATGAACGCGTTAGCCCCGGAAAAGGTAATACCGTATTCGATCTCTACCGCAGACACCTGAAAAGTAAGCTTTGAGTTTTGGAACAGCACATAACTCGTGGTATCTAATCAATGCAGTTCTCAGAGATGAAAGAGCACTTCGATCCCTTTCAAAGTCGTAACCCAGTAACCGATAGTTCGATTCCGCTCTAGGCCAACAAAACCTCACATCCCTCCGGGGTCGGAAAATTGGCACCGGACCTATGTGAGAAAAAACCACTGTCTGCATCCGAAGTGGGAACTCTCCAACTCGACTATCTCAGGACTCCAGGGAGAGTTGCTCGACCAGCATACTACGACATTCAAGATGAAATGGAAATCCTCAAGCAGCAGCCGAAGCCACACGTAAAAGTTGGAGGATCTTCGTGGACATGCTAGGAAGCGAATCGAATGTGAGAAGTGCTGAGATCCTCACAGTAGATGTGAAGACGAATTAAATAAAATAAAAACTACTGGGTGGTGCAGAAAGTTCTCCGGCTTCGTATTTTAGACTAGTCTTCTGGAATGTACCACTTTCAGTAGAAAAACTACTAGTCATTTAAGTTTAACTGTTACTTCCTTGATTCACCGGATAAAATTGCGCTTAACTTCGTTGAAATTTTGTACCACTTGTATGTTTACTTCAAGCTACCCTTAGCAAATATATGACTAGGCATTCTGGTATACCTGACCAGTCTGTTTCCTCCCTCATTTCTTTTTCTGTACCAGGCCATCTACATTATATTTACGTCTATATACGCTGACTTTTTCAATGGACTCGTGTAGCGCAGTGGTCGGAGGCGACCTGCAATACACATGGGATCAATACCACGCCCAGGATCACCAAGCTCTCCATCCCTCCGAGGTCGACAAATTAGTACCAGACTTGTCTGGGAGGATGGCAGCACTGGCTCGATACATCGGTAGGCCACCAGGAGTCATTGTAAAGGCCAGATATGCATTCACTCACCTCCAACGATGCTCAACGAAGTCGAATGCATGGTGCATCCCTCAGGCTTTTTCACACCTATGAAGTTAAATCGATGAATATTTTTTTATTAACTAAAAAGAGAGAACGTGATAAAAAGCATCCCATAAAAAAGTGGATCCCAACATTGGAATGAAGTGCCGTATTTGTGGCACTTCCAAAGACCAACCTGCAAATTATGCTTGCCTCATACAAAACTGTTTCGTAGTCCAGTTTTTCAGAAAATGTGATATAGCAGAACAATTCATTGCCCATCGAAGTTCCGAAGTGCGCTAACCAACGTTTACAAAGTCAATCATTTAACGGTGAACTCTAAGCTAGTGCCACACGAGATGACAGTAAGAAATTGTTGAAAAGAATGAAGAACTGGGAAGAACAACAGTTCCAAGAAGTCGGAGACGACATTAGGAATTAATGACACTAGAAGAAAGTCCAGTTATTCCCACTAAAGGAACACATATCAATCGGTGATTTTTTGGATGTGTGGTCTTAAAGTGTTGTGAACTCCACACACTTTTTTCTACCCAAATCGTTGCGTTAGGGCTGTCATTCATGGAAGTGCTCTGGTCCGAACAACTATAACATCATGCTTGACAATTTATGTACTTCCTTAACGGTTGTCTTACTGTCATATACACTGTTCAACGTCGAGAACCTAGGAGTGGCACGAAGATGTGCACTTCCAAAAGCTACAACGGTAGGCTTGATGTTCAATAGAAGATGGACTTGAACGACCAAGTTTTGCCATAGCTAAAATAATGCTGAGATGGGCGAAACGAAGTACCCGCATAGTGTGGTGGTGAACGTGTTACTCCCCGAAAAGGACAATGGCGCGTTTGTTCCCCACCGCAAACACCTGCGGTCCGGAGTTTTGCAAATATCTCAGCATTATAGTAGTTATATTTCGCAAATACCCTGCCGTTAAAAATTGTAGTAGGCAGCAAATAAAAAAGGTTAAGATTTTACCATTGGTTCAAACTTTGCTGAAACAATTGCTAAAACCGTATTGTCATGTTCTCTTACCTGGAACGACCTGGTATTTCCCTCTATTTCCCTGTGAGCCTGCATTCTTGAAGAAAGTTTATGGAGGAACGACCCATACTATGGGTTTATTGTCGTAGCGTATATTAAAAGGTGAATTGTCTCAACACAGATTAAGCGAATTACTTTTCTGGATCCTTCACTCTGAAACCACTGGCTCTCTTCTATAATGCCCCCTCATATAAATGCTAAATTATTTGAAACGTTGCTTTTCAGCTCTATATGGATGACCATTCTTTGTGCGAACCACCAGGTGGCGCTCCAGAGAAAATAGTACAAAGAAAATACATTGTCCAGCCTAAGTAGTATTGCCTTTCTTTTACACTCAACATTTATACATCAGATAAAATATATGATATAATACACGATAGTATCAAAGTATCGACAATGTCAACTAGTAAAAACAAATAGTATGCAGGATGTTTCGCTTTGGATTTTTCGCCTCAAATTCGGCTAGAATCTCATCGATTTCATTGTCTAAGTCATCGCATTCTTCCAACTGAAATTAAAGTAATGAATCTTTTCTTCCTGTCAAGCTCACGAAAGTACTTCATTGTACGATTACTCAATATGGATGAGTCATGTGTGACTCATGTTTGTATAAATTTCGTAACAAGATTAAAAACCAAGCTTTTTACAATTTTTTGACAAAAAATATGACTTGGAGCACACAGACTATAGCGAATTTTCCTTCACTTACTGCTAACGTATATACACTATGCTCCAGAAAAACCATATGCTCTTAGGCAAAATTGTAACGTGCTTTAAATTCAGCAAGACAGCATATCTTTCATGAGTTAAAACCGATTCAAATAACTATTGAACGATAGAGCTGAATGAAGTCGGCCAACGAAAATTATAAAGCTACGATCTACAACGATAAGATAGTAAATCGTAACATTGAGAAAAAGCATACCTTTCCACAGAGCTCACAGACAAACCAAGCACCTATAGTAGCTTCCTCTGGATTATCCTCAATATCTATATTAATAACATGGGCTGGATTCCCACTGGTCGTTGGTCTCGTGTGAAGATGGTCAACTACCTGTAGAAAATTGTATGGAAGAAGCATAACCTAATGTTAATTACTATTTATACGACGCGATTTTACACATTGTGGATTCCAGCACCTATTTTATTTCGTTTGTTGTCTCGTACCATCTCTCAAAGCCTTCAGATCTTGCGTTTAAGTTCGGCTGCCACTCGTTTTCCTCACAAATGTCGTTGAAGCCGAGTGTCTCTGGTAGCTTTTCCCACACAAGTTTGGCACAAATTTCCGACCTTGGATGGATTTGAAGCCTGGTTCACTTAGATCAAGGCCAAACGACTTTTATGAAGGTGAAATCCTCAGTGGCAACCGAAAGTACCTGCAAAAATCGAACATTTTTATGGATGCTGGGAGAAACGAGACAGAGATTTGAGACAACGAACCGAATGGGAAAAGAGTCGAAACTCGCGCCATATGTGAAATTGGATCTTACGAAAAAGTGATTAGAAATATAGGAAAGCGAGAAAAAAATTGGATAAAAAATAAGCCATTGAACTGTAAATTAGAAAGATAACCGGTATCAAACTCCTTGGTTAGTCAACTGTTCTGAATTTCTCGCTTACACACTGAATATCTTAATGAGCTGTACTCCATTACTTCAATACCTGGATGTATGGTCTTCACTAATGGTGCGAGCTCAGCATAGTTTTCCTTCGTTTCTCTCTCATTCAATCATCTTCTATGATGGTGGTTTCTTCGGACATGATAACATCACCGAGATCGATTCCGAATTCTTAAAATTGCTTCCATCTGCGATTACAAATGGTTGACGTTGGCTAAGAACAACTCCGCACATCATGTGGGTGGTTTTCCAAGAGGACGCTTGGATTCTTTTGAGCCCACTCCACTGCTCTTCTTGTTCATCTGTCATCTGTTCTTATTACTACGGAACCGGCGTCTCTGTGCTTCGCCATCGATGTATATTCTCTTGGATCTCGAATGTGGGAAAGGTTTCAAAGGTCCAAACTGCGCACTCCGGGTAGACGTTGTAACGGCCAGTTAGATTTCAGAAGATACAGTTTAAGCCCTCTGTGGGATGGTGCGCAGATTTCTTGAGGTGGTTTAATGCACGTACGGGATATTCCTTGTAATCAGAGGGCTATCCAGTTCGATTTGTTCATATTTGCACCAGCAGTTCTTCATGAACTTCGTCTTCCTCAGGTTTAACCGTAGTCCAATCTTTTTCCCCATTTCGCTGAGTTTACTGAACTGAATTGAACGTGAACTGCAATCAACTGGGCAACGAAACGGAACTCAGCTTACAACCGTAGGCGACTGCAGTTTAAATCATTTGCTTTTCCATGAATTTTAATGAGTAACCTGCATGCTGTAGTGCTACAGCTTAGAATTTAGTGAATAAATCAACCCTATTGTTGCAAAGTGCAAAGAATAAATCCAATGATATCAACGGTGACCAACAAGTGGACCCTGGCAACTTCTAATCATTTTGAACTCGTATTTGTAATATAGGCGTTAATTACCTAAATAATTTTCAATTACACTAGCGCCATTGATTTCAAGGCATAAGGTACATCAGATAATTTACCTTTCCAACGTGAAATAAACTATCTCAGGCATATAAGAAATTTCGCCACTTGAAAAAAAGAACTTCTGGATCCACAGATTCCACAAAAAGGCAAATTTTCTCATCCTACCACAATGAAAATATGATTATCTACATTCCACATTCTCTCGCTATTTCTTTTCATGCGGAGCTTCCTATTTTCCCAATAGTCAACAACCTATATCATCGCTAAAACGAAGGAACGGAATAATAGGAAGTTTTTACAAAAGAATAATGGCCTAGACAACCATCCGGTCTTAATGGCTGTCGCGCTTATAATATGGATTTAAACTGTTTCCGTCTCATCAATGCCGTTTTAAATTTAGACTTTTGGAAAAAGTGACGGGAAGTTGAACCTTACACGCGCTTCAGCAGCGATAGGATAAAATCTTTTCTAACAGTCTAACACGTCCCTAACCTCAAATACTGGAGTAAGCAAGAAATTATCAGCCGTTAGTGAAATCCAAAAGAGGTCATGAATGCTGTAAAAAAGTAAACATAGTAAAGTGAAAATACAGGACAAAAAAGTTTTTGCTAATAATACTAATACCTAATATAATAATTCCAGCATGATTCAGCATTTCTCCCAACGGTTTACCGCCTCATCGAGGCTGGAAGGTGGCCCTGGGTGTCCGGCCACGGAGATTCATCCCCCCGGCAGGGCCTCCCAAGCTGAGAAGGGATCCGGCGTTTCCATCAGGAAGCCTAGCTAAGAGAAAACCAATACCAGGATCCACTTCCGTCCTGGTATCCAGTAGTCGCATGGTGGCAAATCGCCCTCTGATCCACAAAGGCGACGACTGCCTGTTGTGGTGACGATCTGGGGCAGACTTTGGCCAGGTTATCCTCGGGACTCCAGGGAACCACAATGGCTAAACCAGGAAAACTCCGAAGCACTCTAAATTACGCTAAGCCTTGCACGACTAGTGAAGACGGGCCATCCAAGTATCCAAGCATAATTCAGCATTAAAGTTAAGCAATTGGGTAAGGTCTTAGAAAAGCAATTAAAAATCGTGACTATCTCATACCCATTTTACAATAATTTGTACTTCCGCACAACGTAAGCAAATCTGAAGTGGTTATCCTATCGTCACTAACGGGTAATAAAAGTTTGATACCTGATCATAAACTCGTTCCTCAAGGCAAATGATGACATCAAACTCCTGATCTTCGTGCTGGAACTTCTGTGGTGCAGGTTTTATGCGGCGATTTCGGTCCAGCATGTTCAACAGACCATTTTGAGTGTAACTGAACGAAGGCTCCACAAATAAGAACGAAGAGAAAAGCAGCACAATGCAGACAAATAGAACATTGGTCTTACTATGCCGCATCTTTGGCTTTTAAGTCATTGTAGATGTACTCATATGTTGCTTTTCCAAACTCGTAACAGTTCGGTTTATCGATTGCTGTGCCCGGAAGTTTCACTTGGTTACCAGATCCATAAGACTCGATAATGAACCCACGCTTCCTGCATGGGTACAAGGAATAATCAATAAAGCATAGACAGTTCTTGAGAACTCAACTCTAACTTACTGCATGAAGCTATGGGCTTCCATACTTCTGTTCATGTTGCTCGAACAACTGACGGCGAATTTCAACTTATCGAGATCCATGCGAGTAAATCAAATTCAAAGGAAAAGCTGGAACGAAGAAAATTTTGGAAAGATCATAACCGCCATTAACATAATCAGTGAGGAAAACCGAGGCTAACCTAGAATCCATGAAAAAGTTAATATCATGAGGGAAGAAAATAAGAAAAAAGAAGGATCTACAGTAACTTAAAGTGCCTTTAGACAAGTACTTGGCCAGGTTAAAGCCCAAAGAATTTCGCTAGAAGAAGAAACAGACAATCAGAAAACACAACTACTGCTGGCCATGGTAGCTAGGAAACTAGCTGAGAGACATGCGAAACGATGGACTCCCATGGTGTGAATTGCGAACGCGTTAGTCCCCAGAAAGGCTAATAGCGAGTTCGATCCGCACTGCAGACACCTACTGCCCAGAGTTTTGCAAATGTCTCCCAATTCGGTATCTTGTGGTTGTAAATCAGAAAGCATTATTGGTTTAATTTTCCACGCTTTTCGCGGTAGTTGTGTGGAACTGCGTACCGTGCAAGCGATCGGATCTCTTCAGTGACCCTTCTCAGGTGACTCTGCTCTCCCCAAACCGACCTCTTTTATTCCTTGATTCATCCGTTCTAATCGGACCGATCTTATGATCTATTACTTAATTCAGCAAGTTTATGTATACTTAGCCTGGATTAGGAGAGCTTTTTTGGACCAGTTAGGCCATTTTAGGCAGATTTTCCTTCCAAGACCCGAATTTATTTCTAGCAATAGTTTGGATCAATGTGTCGGCTTTGTTGTCTTTTTTTAAAATATTGATATAAAATTCGTTTAATCGGAGCTGACTAGTAGTATAATAGCGTTTAGGTATTAATGTTAAAGTTCATCGTTAGTTAATGTTCGCTAAGTCCTATAGAACATTGCAGAAGTTTGACTCTACCTGTGACTGTTACTTGGATATTGTAAATTTACTCTGAAAAGGTTTCAGAAAATGTCCATAACGATTCCTGGATCGCTTGTGAACAAGACCAAGAAGCATTTCATGGGCATGCCTGCTCCAGCGGGCTATGTTCCCGGAGTAGGAAGAGGTACGTGAAAGTACTTCTTGTCTACTGTTTTTACCTTATCTTTTTTTTGTTTTATCTTATGTCGATTATCTATCTTCTATCTATCTACCTGTCTTTTCGTCTACCTTTTCCTTACCTTTTTGTTTATCGTGTGTTTATTATTTGTTTATCGTTTGTTACTACCATTTCTGAAAATATAATAGTTCTCGTCTTGAATGGCCCATTACAACTTATATAAGCATTCTGTGACTTAATGAATGTTAGTTTAATGATGCTCCTCCTCAACAAGTGGAAAATACAACCACAAGGATGCTGAGACACGAACTAAACTGGAGACCTCAGGTGCACTTCGAAGCCGCGACTATCCTTGACGAGAACTCACGTGCTATCCACCACACCAACTGTAGCCGTTGCTCTTTGTTTCCCTTACCCAGGTCTTTCTACTTTATGGATGCAGCCGGCAATTACTAGGGATCATAAGTGGGCATTCAACCCAGTTAAGCTGTGAGCCCTTGGAAAGGGTAGTCGCCGGTTCGAAGAAACCTAAGGTTCCGTGTTTTGCCCACTTCGCTACATCCTTGTGGTTCTATTTCACATAATATCCTGCCGTGGAAGAAAAATGAATAGGCAGTAAATAGAAATTAAAAACTTGGAAAGTTTTTGTGGACACCATTAGCCATCTAATAATTCTAAAGGATGCTGAACAGTCATTTCCCTCCCCTTTTCTTGGAAGGGTTACGAGGCAGGTGTAGTAATAGGGAATTTATCAAGAGTAGATATGTGACTCATTCGTTGGAAGCAAACATCAACACCTTTCCATTTGCCTTCTCTTCACTTCCGGGAATGTAACCCTGCAAGATAGAAGCCGATGTATACTACAAAATAAGTCATTTTATCGCACCTGTGAAGTGAAGCTTATCATCTAAGCTCACGTGCATCTCATAGAGTACGGTGTTACCTTTCATCGTATTCCATCCTGTATTGTTTACTTGAGGGCTGTTCACATAAGCACATAACTAATCGCTCCAAAACCCCACGTGGTGAGCATTCGTAACACATCAAAACCATTTTTAGAATCCTTATTTAAACTACTCAGCTTCCAGTTTCTGATGGAATTATGTTTCCCAATTCATGTAGTTTGGTACGGTATAACAGCCTACTTTTGTATGTTAACGGTAACGGCAACTTAAGTCGTATTTAATCCTTAGGAGACCGAAAATAATTTATCCCTTAAGCTGTGGATAAACACATCACACCTTAATCAGCAAACGAGTTTTGGTCCTGCCGGAATGTATTACTAATATATGTGTACACTTATACACATATACGTGTGTATATTTGTGTACATATGCATACATATACATATACACATATATATATATATATCATTGAAACAATATTCCAACATATGCTGTTTAGATCTATGAACTTCTCACCTCTAGTGTTTTCTTAATTGGAAAAACCATTGCGAATTATCGAAAAACAACCGTCGTCACAAGTCTTTTGTTTTTCTTATAGGTGCAACTGGATTCACAACCAGATCTGATATCGGGCCGGCAAGAGAGGCGACCGACGTACCAGAAACAGGGACCGGACCTCCATCCAAAAAGCCGAAGGAAGATGCCAAGGATGACACTGAAGAATCGCTAAATGACAACAACTATGACGAAGTCTCTAGTTATTTCTCTTTCTTGCAAGCTTTCATTTGAGCGGTTATTTGCCTGTATGGGATTCTATTTGTACTTTGCAGTTTGAAGGTTATGCTGGTAGCTTGTTCGCAAAGGATCCATATGATAAGGAAGACGAGGAGGCGGACGAAGTTTACTTAGCTGTGGAAACGAGAATTGATGAACGAAGGAAGGACTACAGGTGATTTTGTTTCACTAGGCAACTTTTGGTCGATTTTCAAACATAGTTTCTTTTTCAGAGAGAAAAAATACAAAGAAGCTATTGAAAAATACCGGAAAGAACGACCGAAGATTCAGCAAGAGTTTTCTGATTTGAAAAGGCAGTTGAGCGAGGTTGGGATATTTTCAATGTTTATGGCTACATTTGCAGATGGCAGCTATTATTTTCAAGTTAAATGATTGAAATGTTTTAATAGGTTACCGAAGATGAATGGGTGGCTATTCCTGAAGTGGGCGATTCGAGGAATAAGGCGAAAAGGAACCCTAGAGCAGAAAAGTGATTCCTTTTCTAATTTATGTTTTCGGATTTATGGAGCAGATTTGATTAGTTCCTATTTAAAAGTTGGAATATCAACAAACATCGTCCAACTCGTGTATTTGTGATTGTCGTGGTAAACTGTTTTCAAAGGTTCACCCCAGTTCCTGACTCGCTCATCGCCATGTCTATGTCCTATGGTGAAACCACGTCCACGCTTGATAGTCGTGTTCAGTCTGGAATGACAACACCTTTCGGTTCCGGGTTTCAGAGTACATTCGGTGGCATGCAATCATCGTTAGGTTTGTGAAACTGTTGGAGGTACACTTCTCGTGCTCCATTTCCTTGAATAGCTCAATCTTTCCTGCGTTATCATCTTGCTAAAGAGTTTTAGTTTTCGCGGCGTACCTGTAGTACCTCAGTAAACTAATTTTTTCAGGTGGATGGAGAACTGGTATTCATTCCGGTATTTCAAGTGGACATGATCTTGATCTTATAAAAATTGGCCAGGCGAGGAACAAAATCATGGATATCAAGCTTAATCAGGTAATGAAGAGGCGGTAAAGATATTTCAGTGTTTTTTGTATATGATTTCCAAGCATAAATCTTGAAGAGAAGTTCGAATTATTTAGTTTCTTGCACATTTAATTCTCTAGGTTTCCGACTCTGTCTCTGGTCAGACTGTAGTCGATCCCAAAGGTTACCTTACTGATTTGCAGTCCATGATTCCGCAATATGGTGGTGACATCAACGACGTGAAAAAGGTATAATTTCCATTAGGTGTAGGGTTATTTGTAATGGAGGTTTGTATCAGTGCTTCGTTTTAGGCTAGAATGTTGTTGAAGTCAGTTCGAGAGACAAATCCGAAACACCCTCCAGCGTGGATTGCTAGCGCACGTCTTGAAGAAGTAGTAGGAAAGCTCCAGGTACCACTTCAATTTTCGCTAAAGATGCTAGTGCAATTTTTTATCTTGGAAGCAAAATCTTCTTTTCGCGTTCAGTTGACGTTTTGAAAGATTGCTTTCCAAGGTTGCACGTCATTTAATCATGGAAGGTTGTGAAAAGAACAAGAAAAGTGAGGATATGTGGCTTGAAGCCGTTAGGTATGGAAGTTTCATCTCCCAGTTACATTGAGTCCATTCGTGGATAATACATATTTTATTTCAGATTGCATCCACCAGAAACAGCTAAAGCAATAGTGGCTAACGCTGTTCATGCAATGCCACATAGTGTTCGTATTTGGATGAAAACGGCAGAAATTGAAGTTGATGTGAAGGCAAAGAAGAAGGTACCGATTCAGTGGTGTCACTGGTTTCCCACTTGTTACCAATATTATTATAACATATACGATTTGCAGGTGTTCCGTAAGGCACTTGAGCAAATTCCTACCTCTGTTCGTCTTTGGAAAGCTGCCATAGAGTTGGAAGAACCGGATGATGCACGCGTTTTGCTCACTCGTGCAGTAGAGTGTTGTAGGTGAGTTCGTACCTGTTTATTGGACAGAGGGAATATTACTGTAGGTTTGTTATTTTTTTTTGTCTTGTCGAGCTTCGTATCGACCTTGGTTGTTGAAACATTGTTGCGCGGTGAAGTACTAGTGATATGTGGCATTAACTAAAAGAACATTTAGTTCGAGTACCGAGCTTTGGTTGGCTTTGGCACGTCTGGAAACGTATGAAAATGCACGGAAAGTTCTTAACAAGGCCCGAGAACATATTCCGACTGATCGTCAGATTTGGTTGTGCGCTGCTCGTCTAGAGGAAACGCGGGGTCAAAAGGACATGGTTGATCGTATTGTGCAGAAGGTATATTCTAGTGATCACCGCTTCTATAGGATTCGAATGGATAAGTGACAGGAAATGCAATGATTCGATGTATAGTATGAGTCCTCTTGCATCCCATGAATTTTATTTTCTGACTCGTTTTTTATTTGGAATTTAGGCATTGACATCGTTGACCGCAAATATGGTGGAGCTGAATCGAGAGCATTGGATGAAGGATGCAGTTGATGCCGAACGAGCTGGTTGTACACTCACTTGTCAAGCCATAATGTTAGCCGCTTTGAAATTCAGCGTTTAATTTAACTCTATGCTCATCAGCTGTATCGACATCTTACTCAGTCTCGACCGCTTTGCTGGAAATGTTATGTTTATTTATATCTAATATATGGGATTGTTTAAGCCGTCATGTTATTGGTGCTGGTGTCGAGGATGAAGACAAGAAAGCAACTTGGTTGGAGGACGCGGACTCTTTTGCGAAACAAGGTGTGAAACTTTATTTGTTTGTGGCTGTGTAGAACGATTTTTCGTTACTTTTAGACATTCTATAGTGTTCATTTTAAAAAGGCGAGTATATAGCGTAGTGATCGGAGGTGCCCTGCAATACACATGGGATCAATCCTCGCGCCCCAAATTCACCAAGCCTTCCGTCTCTTCGGGGTCTGAAAACTGGTACCAGATTTGTCTGTGAGGATAGCAGCACTGGGTCGATAGGCCGCCACGAGTCATTGCAGAGGCCAGATATGCATTCAATCACCTCCAACGGTTCTTAATGAAGTCGAATGTATGGTGAATCCTTCAGGGATTGATCAACGCCAATAGCTTTATCTCATTTATTTACAACGTCTAATCAAAACACCTTAATGTGGTGTAAAATAGGGATTTTAAGTGTTCTTCCAGGGAATAAGGAGAATTCTGTGACTTTCGAAACCAGTACACATTTTCCTCCCAACGGTTTACCATGCGGTCTATCAGGAAGTCTAGCTAAGAGTAAACCAATACCAGGATCCACCACCGTCCTAGTATCAAACTGGTGGCATAGTTGCAAAACTCCGTCTGACCCACAGGGGCGGCGACCGCCTGTGGTGGTGAAGATCTAGGGCAGACTTTGGCCAGGCTGATCTCACGGTCCCAGGGAACGACAATAGCTAACCCAGGAAATTTCCGAAAAAATGGAAGTTATGCTGAAGCGCGCACAGCCAGTGAGGGCGGGCCATCCACGTTTCCAGGTACACATTTTCAGGAGCGTTAGCGTGTGCCCGGGCGGTTTACGCTCATGCTTTGAAGAACATCGAAAAGCGTAAGGGCATTTGGCTTGCAGCTGCTCATTTCGAAAAAACACATGGAACGACGTATGTCTTTTCCTTTCACATGTGCATCCCATATTTCGTTTCTTTTTATGGTTTTCAGAAAATGTTTTCATATTTAGTGAGGAATACGAGGCACTTCTTGCCGATGCAACCACTTCTTGTCCACAAGTTGAAGTGTTATGGCTAATGTATGCAAAATCGAGATGGTTACATGGTGATGTCTCTGGAGCTAGAGAAATTCTTGCAAAGGTGTGAGCCGAAGACTTCTGTTCTGTAAACTATTTCGGATAGTTTTTTTTTGATAGGGAGTTACAGAGTATGTAGAACCGTTGTACAACTCCCCATCTTGGGTTTCACTAAAACTTTCCATAGAATCATGTTGAAGATGGTTTCGTATGAAGTTAGCACTCCTCTATCGCTTTTTTATAGGCATTTGAGCACAACGCTAACTCTGAGGGTATTTGGATGGCTGCAGTTAAACTGGAGTCAGAAAACAATGAATTTGCCCGTGCTCGTCGCCTTCTTGAGAAGGCTCGACGCAACGCCCCTTCGGCACGGATATGGATGAAAAGTGCTCGGCTTGAGTGGTGTCTTGGTGATCTGGATAGGGCAAAGGAGTTGATTAGAGAAGGACTCGAGAAGTTAGTGACTGTTTTTGAGAATATGAAGGGGAAATGAACTGTGTTTGTTGTCGTTTATTGTCGAATCGAAAAATTTTATTTTAGATATCCAGATTTTGCAAAACTTTATATGATGTTGGGTCAGATTACTCTTCAAGAAAATAACTTTGACGATGCTAGGAAAATATTTACCGAAGGAGTAGGTTTAAGCAGAAACAGGTTCATTTATAACTGTCTCAACATTTTTGTTGTTCTTTCAAGATTAAAAAGTGCCCTGGTGCTGTTCCTTTATGGCTGTTACTGAGTCGTTTGGAAGAGTCGCAAAAGCAAATAATTAAGGCCAGGTCTGATTTGGAAAAGGTTGGTCATTATCCTTTTCCTTTTTGGCATATTTATGTTTGCCAGCGACATGTAGCTGTGTTGTCACATTCGTTTTATATCTATAAATTTCTGCGGCAGTGGGTATATCAGAGGGATTGTCAGATAAGAGATTTCGCCTAAACAGTTGTATCTGTGAAGAAATACGTGATTTGACGGGTGGTTGCTGATGGCAGCGCTAGCTAGCTGAGAAAAAGGCAAAGCAAAGGCTCCAATGGTACAGTACGTAATATACAAGACCCCGGAAAGTGTAATCGTGGTTCGATCTGGCCTGGGGTCCAAGTTTTGCGATTAGCTCGCATCGTTGTGATTGCATCGCACAGCACACCTTGCCGTGAAAATTGTAGTAGGCAGCAAATAAGGGGCCAATTAAGTGATTTGTGATCACTGGTTTGTGTAGTTGATAATTGATTTGGTCTTCTCTAACTACTATGGTAGATTGCTTTATCATTCAGCATGCAGGAAACTTGCGATCTATTGTATGCATGAGACGGCTTGTTGTGTTATTCTAAGCCATTCCGTTTGATAATGCAAATAGATGGTGTTCTTAGCTTATATCTCTTATATTTAACAAATAGACGGTCGTACATGTGATGTATGCCTCAAACGTGGTAGGCACAACGTGTTCTATGGATCGTATATTTCATTCATACAACTAATAACGGACAATTAGCTGTAGATCTACGCTGCAGTTTTCGAAAATGATGTGTGGTCCTTTAAACATTATCGGTTGACGTGTTAAGGCTCGTATTCGTAATCCACGAAATGAAGAACTTTGGTTAGAGTCAGTTCGACTGGAGATGCGCGCCGGTTTTCGTGAACTTGCTTCGGAAAGACTGGCTCGTGCTTTGCAAGAATGTGAGGGTTCAGGTAAGTACACTTTTAGTCTGATTTAATTTGTGGTCATCACAAAGCGTGTTAAGAATTGTACCAAATGTGTAAGTAGATGATACTCTTTAAAGACGATGGTAACTTCAGTTAAAAAATACTGAAGAAAGAAAACAGTTTAGGGCGACTTTGGGCGGAAGCAATTTGGATGGAGGAGCGACATGGTCGACGTGCCAAATCGGTTGACGCTTTGAAGCGATGCGAACATAATCCTCATGTATTAGTAGCAGCTGCACGTTTATTCTGGGCCGAACGAAAGGCAGTATTTTTATAACATTTCTTTTCGTGATGAAACCTCGATGAATGATATCATTCAGGTGAAAAAAGCTCGAGAATGGTTTCAAAGAGCGATTAACGTCGATCCTGATAATGGAGACGCATACGCACACTGTTACAAGTTTGAATTACTACTAGGCACAGAGGTTTTTGTGACGTTTTTTCATGTTTAGATGGTTCACATTATAACACCATTTTCTGCCAATTTTGGTTTAGTCCTTCTTGCTTTAAATATAGAGGCAGGGTAGTTCCTGGTTTCCAATTTCGATGTACGACACAGGATTCATTCCAACTAAAATATAAAAATATGCCAATGTTAAAAATGACTTCGATATTTCCTTCCAGAAGCCGACTAAAAGGTGAATCAGAACTAGAAATCACTGATAGCTAACGGCGTAGTCGATAAGAATTCTTCATCGTATGTTAATTGAAATAGAAAATGGAATTGAGAACGAAGTGAAATTGAGAAGATTGAACGTGAAGTTCACCGGAGCAGTTCTTATCGGAATTACTTTTTGAAATCTTCGAGGTTATTGTTTAGGATGAGCAGGAAAGAGTGTTGAAGAAATGCGAGGAAGCAGAACCACGTCACGGAGAATTGTGGGTATCTGTGTCAAAAGACCCGAAACATTGGCGGAAGCAAACTGGAGATATTCTTAAGACTGTTGTTACCAACATACCGATTCCATCATAGTTGGGGTTTCCATAGTCACACCAATATGTTGATAAACATTGTAGATTCCGATTTTTTTTGTTAATAGAAACAATACCGTATTCTGTTGTTACCCGCTTTACTAGGGCGCGTGTGGCGCAGTGGTTGGAGGCGCCATTGCGACACATACGTGGAGTCACTCCCCGCGCCCATGGCCCACCAAGCCTTCTATCCCTCCGGGGTCGACACGTAGGTAACAAACTTGCCTGGGAGTGTAGCAGTACTGGCTCGATACATCGGTGGGCAACGGCGAGTCATTGTAAAGGCCAGTTATGCATTCAATCACTCCAACGATACCTAATGGAGTCGAATGCATGGCGCATCCCTCAGGGTTTGATCAACGTCGAGAGCTTCATCCTTTATTGCTTTTTATTTTATTTTTTGCCCGCTTTATTTTTATTTGTCTGCAGTGTGATCGAGTTGAATTGTTAACATACGCAGATCTCCGCGTTTCGACATTGCAGTTGTCCTAAAGAGCTGTGTGCCAGTAAACCTTATTGTAGCCTTGCGAAATCTCTACATTACTTATAGCTTTCCTAACATGCACAGAATAGAAAGCGAAAGAAATACGACCAATCTAAGAAGTCCGTCATAAGTGTGATAGTGTGCAGTAGTTGCGCTTGGATATTCTGAACTGTGCCATTTACTTTATATACTCTGAGACCAGTTTGATGCGTCTAGTGAGCTTATCAGCGACTTCATGCTATCCTAAGACACATGTGGATCGAGGGCGTGGACTCTCGCGATACTGTTTCCTTCCACTTTGTAGTTATAGGGAATCTCTGCATGAAGTACTTAGTGAAGAGGACGGTACTTATTGCAAAAAGACGAAAGAATACCGCCGTCGAGCAAATTTCATATTCTGTTCATAAGGATATAATCGATCTTCGTATACGCAGTAGAGTTTTGGTGCTTGCACGTTCACAGACGCTGAACTTTCTAATTGAAAAGGAATGCCGAAAGAGTCTCGACGGCATGCCATAGGTGTATTGTTCTGGTCTTTTTTTTTTGGCATATGCAATGTTACTGAAGTATTTTTTCTTGATATACCGAGATAGCCGTACTAAGTCGTTATCAGGTGTTCTTCCTGCAGATAGTCGTCAGCTTCGACTAACTTTTTGAATGGAAGCGGTTCCTGGTACGCAATAAAAATTAAATCTTTGAAATAAAAATTATAACCCGTGGTAAACGCCCTTTCCATTGAAGCCGTGCTTGCTTAAGAAACTTGTTCCAGGCATTCATAATAAGGAATCAGGCTAAGCAAAAGACTGACGTGAATTAATGAAGACTTATTAGCGTTGAGTTTTTATGAAACTTATTGAGGATGCAGGATATCAATGCTTTAATGCCCTTGTAAGATATAATCCACAAAGTAAAACTGACCAGTCTGACAATTACAATGCGATAATGGTAAAATATTGTCGTCTACATATTAAAAACAACAGAAGCCTAATTGGCGCTAGAAGGCGCTTCTCGTGCTTCTTCTGTGGCTAATATCGAAATCGTCACTGGGTCAACAGGTACAGCGGCCAGTGCCTCTTCGGCGACGGCCAGCTCGGACCGCAACTGTTCGACGTACTAAAACGAGGTAGCGATGAGGGTTAGGTTTCTTCTTCACACTAGTGTATTCTAGGCTTTAAACAGAAAAAATTGTTTTCTAACTGGATGTCTGTAAACGGGAAAATCTCATCCGAATGTGAGTTATGAATCCCTCTGATGCATCAACATTGGTTTCTTCTCATTTATACGGACCCTATTGAGTATATATATTTCCCATTGGTAATGTATGAAAATGAATATTTTGTAATTCCATTGCACTTCGTTGAGATCTGCTTCTAAACACAGCGCGAATGAAACGACATACCTCTTGGGTCTCTATGTTGTCTCGCTTCTTCTTGCATTCCATCTTACATTGCTCGTATGCATTCAACACCTAAATCTCCGTCCACATTAAAAGCTCGAGGTATCTTGACTTATATCGGTTCCATATGAAGTTTCAACTCGGTTTTTTTCGCTGTCCCACGGTACTAATGATTATATTGGATGTCATTTTAGAAAACAGCTTCCAAAAAAGTGGAAATAATTCTGATTCCTTCCATTATCTGTCATTTTTCCCACTGGCGTTCTACCTAGTCGTGACTGAGGAGGTTCCTAACTGCCAAGCAGTGATGTTCAGTATAACTGATAGGATTGTGCGAGCATGGTAGTTCGAAATTCCTATCTGCAACCCAATCTGAAACTTAACTTGTGCTAGAAATTGCCGCAGTTCTGGAAGAAACCTAGCTGCAAGGTGATGGATCTCTTTGCGATTGGTATGGGGCTGTAATTACCTGTGGTAACGAGCAAGGAGCATCTTAGCAGAACTACCTTGTGAAGACTGTAGCACAGTGGTAGTGATGCGGATCGTCACGGGCATGGTGCTGGCTCGATCCCGCTCCAGGCCCGTGAAGTCGTTCATTCTTCCGGAGTCAAGAAATTGGTACCGAACTTTTCCGAGGAACAACCACTGTTTGCTATTCAAATGAGGACGCCATAGTCTAGCCATCTCAGGGACTGCAGAGAGAATCGACTCGATCAGCATTCAAGGACATTCATAACGAAAGGAAAATCTTTAAACAACAGCTGAACCTAATTCGAGCGTTTTAAGACCTTCGTGGATGATCGATGTGAAAAAAGGAACCAAATAAAAATGCTTAGTTCATCAAAGTAGATGTGAAGGACGAGTAATGTAAAATAAATAGAAAAATCAAACGAGATCGGACCGATGGCTACGAGCTGCTCGTTGGACTCAAGAACTATGCTGAGTAATTTTTAGCTTTTCAATTACGAAATTCGAATCGTATCTACACCATCCGCAACTCGTTTCTCTAGCAGAAAGCAAAGCAAATCTGACTGCGATACCATTAACGGCCTATCCTAATTCATCCTTTCGTGTTCTGAGTTTCCATCAAAATTATGGATGGAGGCTAGAGTCCTGGACAAAAAAAAACTTAATATCTGACTATGTTTGGGGTGGAAACCACCATATACACAGATTTTTCGTAAATCCTCCCAACGGTTTACCGCTTCATCGTGGCTGGGAGGTGTTCCTGTGTGTCCGACTGCGATGTATGGCGGGAGATTCGTCCCCACGGCAAAGTCTCCCAAGCTTAGGAGTCCGGCGTTTCCATCAAGAAGCATAGCTAAGTGTAAACCAATACTAGGATGCAATTCCCAAGACCGACTTTCTGTTAACCTGGACATTGATTGATAATTCGATGTTTTTCTTCAATAAGCAGACACGAGGTTGTTATTGTAGAATTTATTAGGATACAATAGCTGACGTTTCGGCGGTTTGGCATTCTTCAGAGCCTGGAAAAGTCAAATTGAGATGCGATCTACTCAGCGAAACACTTTCATAACCCCAGCAGATTAAACTTAACAAATAAATTTGCATTCGCACAGGAAACGGCTTCATTTAAACACCTACCGTTTATTTGCTGTAAGTAGTTAGTTTAAGTTAGTTGGTGGATAGCAGCCGCACAGAGTAATACACGAGCGAGGATTGTGTCTGTGTCAGGTCCCGTGGATTAGCATGAGGTATGGCGCCAGGTTACGCGTGATGACAGGACACTCCTCCTTGCAGTTCATTTTCGGTTTTTTGGAATTGATCCAGAACGCTTCAAGAGTTTTACGCTCTGATGTTTTTGATTCGTGCATGAGGATAGTAACTCCTACTTCAAACTCTTCTCCGTTGTGTTCCCGCATCCTATGCGCGCCTAGTGGAGTGTTTGGTTTTAATTTAGATCTACCGACTAGGTGTTCTTTTATGCGGAAGTAGAGCGGTCTACCCGTTTCGCCAACGTATTCGTCCCCGCACGCTTTACAAGAGATCAGATAGACTGTACCCCAACTCTTAGAGTGTCCGATAGTATTTCTATCACTCTTACGGAATTCTGTTTCGATAAGTAAGTATAAGACGGTACATGTCGGCACTTCGATCTTAAGATGCGAAATGTCTGCCGCTTTTAAACCTGCTTCGCTTGCCATTTTGATCCATTCGTTGTTCAGTTTTCGATTTTGACTTCTGAATTCCTTTTCAGTAGATGCGCGATGAAGAGATGCGTTTTCAAGATGTTTTTCCGTTATATCGACATCTGACTTGCGAAGAATTACTACAAACTCTCCACTCCTATCACTAACTGATAGTTAGGATGCACTGCTGTCTTGGTATCAAAGTCGCATGGTGGCAAATCTCCCTCTGATCCACAACGGCTGCGACTGCCTTTAGTGGTGCCGACCTGGGTCCGACTGTGGCCAGGCCGTCCTCGGGATTCCAGGGAACCACAGTGGTTTGGCCAGAAAATCTCCGAAACGTGGTGATTATGCTGGGGCCCGCACAATTGGTGAGGACGGGCCGTTCAAGTATCATGTAAGTTTTCGTAAGTCATTTGGTATCTCTTCAAAATAAAGGAACTCGAAATGAGTGTACGACCTTCTGCAGAGTGTTTCTGTTTACAAGAAATGACCTAAGAAATCATCGTTACTATGGCCAAGCTGGCTTATTCACTGTGCGCTGCAGACTGTTCACGGAGATCGCATTTGGTAAACACCTTGGAGAAAGTCCAGTCAATTGGGCATCGAGAGCGGTTCTGTTTTGTTGATGGGCTGTCGCGCTGAAGAATTCTAGTCCCGAGATATCGCAACTGCACGACAAATTACTGCTATTCCATGGATCGTTTACCACTTCCATAGGAAATTGAGTCAGTTCACAAAGACGAATAAAAGCATGAAAACATCATAGGGGGTAGGGAGGTTTCGTTCGTTCTGATGGAATACTTGAACTGCTTCTGTTTTGGTCTCTATTCCGCCATACCAAAATAGTTCGATTCTTTCATCGGTCTGCTTTTAGTGTATAATTTGTAAAATTCTAAGGTTGGGATAACGCAGTGGTTAATGATGCCGTCGATCAGGAATCAAAGGCGCTGCTTCGACCCCCTTCCCCTCCCCAACGCTCTCCTCCAGTCCATGTGGGAACACCTCAGCCCTGCTATCTCCGAGATTACAAGCAGAATCTATTCCAGCTGAATTCTACAACATTCATGAAGAAGGCGAAATCCTGAAACAGCAGTCAAAACAACACGCAAAATGTTCGAAGACCTTTGTGGACGATGAATGAGAGTGAAACGAATCGAATGTAAGTTCTGGATCCGCACGGTAGATGTGATGATGGGTCATGTGAAATGTGAAGGAAAAATCATAAAATTCTGGAAGACATGAATCAGTTTGTTTGTGTTTTACTTTTAATGACTTTGGCCTGTTGTTGATTTTTTGTTGGTGATGATTTCTGCTGCTGTCCAAAAGTGTTTCGGCGTCATAGACGTGTTGTCCACTCTAAAAAATACATTAAAATCCCGTCCCAAAAACTATTTGCAAGTTTATCTTCAAAGAGAATTCGATTCAAGAATGTCATTGACCGTTGAATCGGAGAAAAGAGAAAGATTCCCAACTAACACACCTCATGGGTTTTTGTGGAGACAATTTCTTCTGGAATTGAAATGATCACACTATCGGCTTTAGATTCTCGATGTTTCTCTGCTTTCATTTTCATCTTTGCCATGCATGCTTCATTCCCGTCGCTTTGTGATTCTTTCATCTGAGTCTAAAAGAAATGGTATCTTTGATACCGTCATTCTACGAGGTCTGGAAATATCGATCACCTAAGCGTCGCCTACGATCTAAAACTATAAAACAGAGGTGTTTTTTGAGAACCAACTTCTATTTAAGACCGGAATAAAGAGTTAATATCTTGTTCTACTGATAAGCCTTGATGTGCATTATGACAAGTGTTAAGGTAAAGAAGGCATTCCCTGGAGTCCGCCTTTGGATGGAAGTTGTTAGACTACCATTCTTCATTTGAATCCGATTCTATTGGACTCGATGAAACGACAGCAATCATGTTAGGGAGACTTTCGGCTCGCTTCCATTTCTCCGACGATACCAACGCGGGAAGGACAAAAAATGATGTAGAGGATCACTATGCTTTCATTACTCTAGTAATGACTGTAAGAAGTATAGACCTCATGTAAAGAACGGCGATGACAAAAAACAAATTGAAAATATTACATATTACAAGATTAAATTGCTTTAAGAACAACGTTTTCAACAACCAGTGGGAAATTCGAGAATAGAAGAACTTACAATGCTTGCAAGGGAACGCCGTTCCAAAAACATTGATGAGAAGACGCTGTTATTTCGAGTCGAAGCAATAAAAAGACAAAGCCGAAGTCTCTCAGCACTCAGTACTGTCGTTACTAACAGCCTCTACATCATCCTCTTCGTACAGGATGCAGTAAAACCGCTGCTGGACTCAAACGGATTCGTCGAAAAAATCGCCTTAGATAACACCGAATAGAGTAGTTATGGTAGGAAAGCTAGATTTAGTACAAAAATCACATAGGAAATTTCTTGAAGTAAGCAAGAAACCATTAAAAGAATCCTTTTAACTCAGCGTGTGCAGTCAAAGATCACCCATGACGTACGCATTGATATCAACGCGCAGGCTCGCAAGTATTTTAAATGATAGCTCTCGCCTTCTTTTGAGCCTGGAAGGATATAGCGATATGCAATTTATTATGTCAAACGCTTCAATAACACACACAGAAAGACGAGAATCTAAATGGTAGTCACATGGTCAACAGCTTCTCGAAAACCCACTATTTATTACGTGCCTTCCACTGAGGAAGAGCCACTGATCGGAGTCGCACATGGTTGTCGACTGTACCGCCCCACATCAAAAGTTGATGCGAAGGTACGGAGCCATATCACGTGTGATCTCCGGGCATTCATCCCTGCTATTCATTCTAAGCTTCTTCGTATTTATCCGGAAAGCTTCAAGAAGCTAGCGCGCTGGTGTTTTGGCATTCTGTGCGAGGATATTGACTTTAATATCATGGCTTTAATATAGAACTATTTGATCAATGCCGAGGTTAATAGAAAGTCGGTCGTGGTAAGTGTCGAACCTTCACAAAATTTTCCGAATTTTTCGACATGATTACATGTTACTGCCTTTCCGGGAGAAAGACGCTTAGACGTCGTACTACTTAATATCTTCAAATCCAAACAGAAAAAAACTTGCAATATGCCTTCAGGTGAGCAAATTATTAGCAGCTTGTTGAAAGAATGAAAAAAACCATAATACCGATTTCTATCTGCCATCAAACTTTCGGAGGCAATGTGACAAATCTGGACTCTTGGAGTACTTTGCGTCTTCTCCAAATAAATATATCGTCAAGTTTGGCTTTTGAGATTTGCTGGACCTCAGTCGAGATGTTACACCTTCCTTCACAGAGCTGTGTAGAAAGATGTTTAAATTTGGAAAACTTAGTTATTACTAGATAAGCAGCATTATCCTGCTGTTTGACAGTCCTATTTTCTTATGAAGTGCAAAAACTACTGCTTATTCAGCTTGGATGATGGCTGTCAATTTATGACGAGAACACTGAGTCGAAACTAAATTTGAACTTCTTTAGTTAGTTGATTCCACCTAAAAGCTGTAATTTTCTGTATTTACACTAATAATCTTCCGAATATGAAACTTCATTTCTGATGTGAAAGCAAAACAATGTTAATCCAAGTGATTTGCCACCAAATACTTCCTAATGAGATTTCAACGCAGCAGTTAGAGAAGCGCTACAATAAGTTCTTGGTCGGTGGTTTGATCCAGCGCCCTAGCCAAGCCAAGCCATCCATTCCTCCGTGATCGACATCGATGGGCCATCGTGCTCCATTTTGCAGACCAGATGTGCATTCATAGCCACTTCTGCGATGCTATGAAGAGAATCAAAGGCATGGCGCATTGCTCATGGATTGATTAATGGCCTTGTCATTTTCAATCTTTTATCGTACCTGTAATGGTTTCTCTTGATACTTGTGGTGTAGTTGTTTTTCCTTCTGTGGCTTGTTTTCTTTCGTCTTCCTAAACAAGGCAAGATGGCTAAACATTGGAAATTAGGACCTAGCCTATACTGACAGCGTGTACATTCACCCATAAAGCTGGATGAAGCACATTATAACTTCGCCGCTTCGTTTAGTCGGCTTTATGCATAACGCACTTGTTTTTAACGTCGTCCGTAGTTTTCTTACATTTGAATGCAGATACAAGTAGACATAGATATACGGTGAACACAAACGCCGTCTTCGTTCTCATCCTGAAATATCGTCTGCCTGCGTAAAATCTGAGAGAACCGATCGATGTTGAAGCATTTGGAACGTGACGTCATCCCTATTTCACTTCATACATGAGAACTTAGAACAATCTTTCGATGACTTCAATAAGCTTATTATTAGTGCTGACGGTTTATTTGTCCGTTCTTATTCTCGATTAAGGAAACCAAAGGAAATTTTTTAGTAAACTTTTATTTATACTGTTGTATTTTAACAAATAGCGAGAAGGGTATTATTAAATTCGCGTTCATCTCTTGCATTTTAACACACATCGCCTGGTATGCATTGAGTACAATACGTCCGGCGATGGTGAAGGTGGCGTTCAAATGTGAACCAACACATCTTCGCTTGTAATAGACTTTAATAGTTTTAATATTAATGTAAGATTCTGCAAACATTTCACCACAAGATGCCAGTAACTTTGTCCTATGAAATGAAATTCTGCTTTTCTGAACCGTATTTTTTTAAACTTCATTGCTCAAATTCCATATTTCGAAAGCTAAAGCAGTTAGACAACCGGGACTTTGTCCAGCAGAACGTGATGGCGCTCCCAATCTATCCCTCATGTTTGTAGCTGTTGCACTTCAGTTGCAGCCTAATAACTCTGGGCTCCGTTTTCAATTATTCGAAAGTCATAATCCTAGTGACATTTGGGATGAAATGAATAATACGTAGAAATCGTCTATACAGTTGATAAAAGACCTCAACCGCCTCAAATATTCTAGTGGTCGATAAATACTCATCAACTTTCGAACAAACGGTTTCGAAAGATGTGTTTTAAACTAAAATGCCTAAGGAAAATTCAGGACTACTGAGGTGCACTACTTCATGGAATGAATGCGGTGGTTAGTGAAGATCACTTTGAGACCAGTGAAGGATAACAAAAAGTTGGGAAGAGGAAGAAAATTTCAGCTACAATACCCATGAATTAGATTAATAAAAACTATGAAACTCGAACAATTTCACAAGCCTAATGAGCCGAGAATAGAATATGGGATGGCTGCGCGCTGAACAGCGCTGATTTGTGGTTACCGATAGTGGTTATCAGCTCGAATACTATCGCGAAAAGGCAAACAATTGGCACGGAATTGCTCCCGCTAGTTGCCTCTGAAATCTTCGTGTGAATCCTCGGTGGTGGCAATTGTGACTCCGCTTCAATGCCTCATAAATCACTGCTAGATGTTTACAATTTTTTGAACAGTTCATTAAACCGACTATCGCACCAAGATTCGTTTAAAGTGGAGGTACTCGCAAGTGGCCGGTGATCAGATAGAATGATATGCGCCATAACGTCGTTCAACTCGGATCTTCTTCTGCTTCACATTCAAATTCTATTCTGCCAGTTTTGTAATCGTTATCAGTTACCATAGATGTCTTCGACTTCTTTTAAGGCGGTCCTTGGCTGCATTTTTTTGGGTAGAAACTCATCTGCATCTCTTCAGATCTAACTCTTCATATCAGGAACATTTGCATAGAACCCTTCTGTGAGTATTCTCCCTAGTTAGAGGACGACGCAGCCCGTCATCTTTTATTGAAATAGCATGCAAGCTCAATACTGTAGTATCTCACTTACACCGTTAGAAGAGTTTTTTTGACATGAGCTAAGCTCTAAAAAAATGGCGTCGAATTTTATTTTCTATAAATTTTCGTTACACAGTGATATTTCTTGACATTATTGGAAATCAACATTTGTTCATATTGCTGAGCTTACACGAGGATGATAAAGATGTTTATTCGGTTAACGTTCCGACGATTTCGCCTTCATCAGAGCCGACAATCCGAGTCGATGGTCCACAGATGTTCTTTTTCCTGATGTGGCGTTCTCGTCCTCGCATCGAGCGGGATTTTCCTCAGCGGAGCATCTCGAACAAGACGCCTACTCACTCGGCGATACTCTTCCAAACCACGGTGGTTGTTATTGATATTATGTGTTGATAACAGTTTGTCCTTCAACTGATAATGCACCGTCCAGCAGTCGGTATTTCGTTAGCTATCACATAGCGAATAGCAAAACAATAATAGTATGCCTAATTCGAGATGCCGAAACTGTAATGCCAGACGTTCAATTTGGACGTAGAGTGGAATCCAAAGCGTAGAGCATCAATATGAAGAATGCCCTATATTTACGGTAACGTAGTAGTTCCAAGGAATATGCACTAGTGCCTCTTTGCATTCTCATCTCGGAGGGGTGCTTTTTCATGTAATCGAAAGCATGTTGAACGTTTTACTGTCCGAAGTATGACCCTGGTGCATTAAGACCTGGCTATACATCGCAACATCTAGTTGTACATATGTACCATATGGAGGACACTCTAAGCTGCAGATAACTGAGGGGGCTCACCTTCTATTTCAGATCTTCCTTCGTCTGCACAAAAAACTTGTCAGAGAGGACTATCTTCAACACTCCAAAACTTTGCTGATATGTCCATCGGTTCTCGTCGGCAAGGTATCCTAGAGATGAAATGAACATCCACACTGATCCACTAGAATGATTACAACCGCGGTCAGCTTTTTGATCCAACTACTGTTCTAATATAGCAAAGCTATGCACATAAGACGACAGTTTTAGATTAACTATGCAAAGGACTTCATATAAAATTCGGGAGGTCCTTGAGAAACTAAATTACAACGGAAACACTAACATTAAGCAGGACAACGAAATTCTGATCTTCGACAGACACCATTTCTGTATAATACGCGAAATACTGACTAGAGGAAAACAGATAGACAGATAAGACATCAAGATGAAAATAAAACCAGGGATCAGAATATACAGTACATGTGTCGAAAGATTTTACGGAAGCTGTCTGATGTGATTCAGCACTGGAAACGCCATGTTTTGCCATTCCATTGATAAATATTATTTCACACTTAGTTGAATATGTTCCCACCGTTTATGTTGGAATTAGTAATAAAGCTAAAAAGGATAAAGCTCTGCGTCTTGTTGTTTAATCGCTGAGGGACATTCCATGCATTCCACTTCATTAAGCATTGTTTGGAGGTGGTGATTGATTGCATATCTGGCCTTAACTCGACTCGTTACTCGACTGACTCGTGGTGGCCTAACGATGTATCAAGCTAGTGCTGCTATCCTCCCAAACAAGTGTGGTACTAATTTTCCGACCCCGGAGGGATGGAAGACTTGGTGGGCCATGGGCGCTAGGAACAATTCCACGCGTGTGTGTTGCAGTGCGCCTTCGACCACTGTGCCACACGCACCCAGTTGAAATGCTAAAATAGTAAGTTCATTGTGGTTACTTCAAATGAGCATCGTGGCTGGTAGGTGCTCCAGCTTGTCGGGATGCGATGTGCAGCGGGAGATCCAAGCTGAGGAGACCGGCGTTTCCACCAGGAAACCTAGCTAAGAGTAAACCAATACCAGGATCCACCACCGTCCTGCTATCAAATTAGTCGCATGTTGGCAAATTTCCCAATGATCCACTTGAACGGCGACTGCCTGTGGTGGTGACGACCTGCGGCAGGCTTTAGCAAGGCTAACTTCGGAACTCCGAAAAATGGAAACTGCTAGGGCCAGCACAATCAGTGAGAACGGAGCGTTCAAGTATCTCAAATGAAGATTTGGAGGGCGACAATGGACGATGGCCTTCAGATCCATCACAGAACGGATGATCGTAACAAAATGCTTGTCGGAATTCAGCATGCTCTACCGCTGGGTTTCATGCAATGTTGAAGATTCGAATATTAAAATAAAAGGCCATTAAACACATTCAACAAGTTCATGTTACTGTATAAGGAATTTTTCTTACCGGCAACATCATAATCAAGTAGATCAAGTAACTCAAATAAACGACGACCTGCTCTATGGTGTTTTCACTGATATTTGTGCTACCCGTGCTTGATGAGATTCCTTTCGTAGTGCAATGATGTCGTTCTCCTCGATAAATGCTACTCTGAAGATGACACTGTGGAATCATAGGAATGTTTGCACTCTCTTCTGAATGCTCTTTCTCTCTCTTTTTTTCTCCCTCTCTCAAAATTCCTTCTCTTGCGTTGTCCGTCCTTGTTTTCTTCAGCTGGTCATAAGATGAATCTACTTCGTGTTCATCGGCTGCGTAGATTGCCGTGAAGGTTCCAAACCGCCGACGTTTTGCGACGGAATCCTCTCATGTAGCAAATCCCATGATTTTCCACTAACCTCGGCACTGATTGATAATTCACTGTTTTTCTTCAATGAACAAACACTATATTGGCGTTGTAGAATTTATTAGCACACAATAGCTGAGGTTTCGACAGTTTCGCCTTCTTCAGAGGGCGGAAAGGTCAAGCTGACGTTTGCTTCGGTTTTTATACAAACTGCCTAAGAAGGTGTTTATATTAGTATGGTTGCTAGTATATTCCATGCCGTAAGGGAGAACGTAGGTTCGGTTTTCATCTACTTTCACGATTATTTGACAGATGCAACCATGTGGTTGGTTGTTAGCACACGTTCCGTAAGTGCTGTCTTCTCACTTGTTTCGAAGAAGAGGATAATTGCTGACCTAGCTGTAAACAACTGATCCATCAGATTCTATTCATCATGTAGTATTTCATTGAGCTATGCAAGGCATATTGTACAAGTTGGTTCCTGGTTGGTAGCTTTCCTTCTCGCTAGGTATTTTTTAACCGTAAATCATTTTATCCTCCAAACGGCTTACCGCCTCATCATGACTGGGAGGTCCTTCTGGGTGTCGGGCTGCGATGTGCAGCAGAGAACTCATCTACTGGTAGGGTCTCCCAAGCTGAGAAGGAGTCCATCGTTTCCATCAGGAAGCCTATCTAAGAGTACACCAATGCCAGGATCTACCACCGTCCTGGTATCAAAGTCGCATGGTGGCAAATCTCCCTCTGACCGACTAAGGCTGCGAGCGCCTGTGGTAGTGAAGACCTGGGGCAGACTTGGACAGGCTGACCTCGAGATTCCAGAGAACCACGATGGCTTAACCATCAAATCTCCGAAAAGGTGAGGACGGGCCATTCTAGTATCAAGTACCAAATATCAAATCATTTTATTACCATTATATTTTATTTTATTAAGATGTTCATTTCTACAATATTTTCAATATTTTAGGCCACAGAGTTCTAAACATCTATCAGTGAAATCCGTTGGTTCCTTTTGTAATTCTGGCAGGCTTCTAGGTCTGCTGGAGTCGAAATGCGAGAGACGTCAGGATTTCCTTAAAGAGGAGAAAAAACTTTCTAGTGAAAACGTTGACGAAGAACATGAAGCAGCGGGAAAAAAGGTAATTACTGGTTGCACCGAATCATCGTATTCAAAAAGTTCCTTTTCTTTAAAGATGATTCTTCGCAAGGTACAAACCGTTGTGGTGAAGGTGAACCTAAGATTTCGCACCACCGAAATGGCGATCATGGAATTTTTTTTAAATGTCGCTTAGGTTGCGCCTCCTTTGCAACTATGCTGTTCATGAAATGCCACTTGGGAAGGGATTTTTAGGTTGTTAAGTCTCTAACACCAGTAGCTTCCGATCTTCCGAAAGCAAACCTTTCGAAAATTATACGGTTAAGTGGTATGGCTATTCTAAATATGCTTAAAAGGTATTTATAGGTCAAAGGTTAAATGAAGATGATACCTGGCATATTCCTGCATCATTTCTACTTTTCATCATCACTTTAAGGGCACGTGTGCCGCAGTGGTTGGAGGCGCCACTGCGACACACACGTGGAATCGATCCCCACGCCCATGGCCCACCAAGCCTTCCATCCTGTCGAGGTCGGCAAATTGGTACCAGACTTGTCAGGGAGGATAGCAGCACTGGTTCGATACAACGGTAGGCCGCTACGAGTCATTGTAAAAGCCGGATACGCATTCAGTCACTTTCAATGATACTTAATGAAGTCGAATGCTTGGCTCACCCCTCAGGTATTGGTCAACGCCGACAGCTCTATCCTTTATCCTATATCACCACTCTGGTTACACGATGTGTTTGCTGCATCATCGTAGTACACCATCTTTCAATTTCTTTCGAAATTTGCCAATATCTTCAGTTAATAGTATAGTATTCAGTATAGTATAATAGTTGGCGCATTAATTGTAGTCCAGTATGTCATGCTGCAACTAGCTGCAATTGTGCTGTAATGACTAGCTGATGGGTCTTGATTTTTCAATGCGCTTAACGCTTATTCATTCGCTTAACGGGCTGTTGAAACAAACTTAAGGAGGAACCACTGAAACTTGTATATCGATAGGGCTAAAGGGCTAAAGCATGTTTCGTTGATGTGGTCACATTTAACTGCTCTCGGCAATTTTTTGACAATTCATCTGTGTAGCCGATGATTAAGTGATAAGTCTAAGTGATGAGAACACGCATGGTGTGGTGGTGAACCCGTCAGCTCCTGGAACGATAATAATGAAGTTCTATCTCCGCCGTAGACACCCGTGGTCCGGTGTTTTGCAAATATCTCAGGATCATTGAAGTTATATTTCGCAACATACTCTGCCATTAAAAGGAGCAGGTAGTAAATAATAAGTTAAGATAATAACAACCTTGTGTCTGCTTATTGAAGAAAAACATCGAATTATCTTGGGATTGTTGAGGTCCCGCGAACCCACTATCTTTGTGGATGACGGTGGCCAAGTAGTTAAACACGTGGATGGTATGCACCTGCACACCACGTAAGTATGATCATCTGAGGGTTCGTGCAATTTGGTGTCGGTGTGCAAATTTCATATCTGCAGAACCGCAGATGAATAAATTCTTCAAAAAAAACTGAAAGAAGGAACAATTTTAACACATCATAATGCAATCTCAAAAGATCGAAAGGCCATATAGAGGGTACGTGTGGTTCTACACGTACTTTCGGCTTTACTCCCTGTCATACATTTTAAAACCGTGCTATCGGCTACATCCTCTTCTAAACAATAGTAAATCTATGTAAGAGTAAACGAGGTAGGTCGCCACACTGACAGTGTCATCTAACAGTTTTTACCATCAAGTCTGACTTGAGCGCAAAAGCACAAGCTCGCTAATTTCACACTGTTTATGACTAATACACAGTAGTGCACGCTTTTTTCACGAAGCAGTTTTTTTTACGGCAAAAGCAATGTCTCTTTTGTCGTATTTACGATCCTCTTTATGCTTTCCTTTCCTTTCCACACTTACTTCTTACTCCATTTCTGTCCATCATTTCATCACTCTCTTCCATTACCCATCATCTTTTGCTTTTCTTCCTTTTCCACTTCCGCCTTCTTCGATTTATAATCTTCCTTCTTTCCTAACTTCATCTTTCTCCCTCGTTCTTCTCTTCTATATGTTTCAACTCATCTCTTCTCCTAATACCGCCTCTTATTTTACTTTTCCATCCAGCTTCTCCTCTTCCACTTTATTGTAATTTTATTTCGTGCTTGCACTGCTCTCTTACTGTTTGGTCCTGATGACCGCTATCATTTTTCATATTCATTTAACCGTGCAGATAATTCCTGTCTGGAACTACGGTCGAAAAGGAACATAGTTATTTACCGTCTAACTTTTACTGACGAGCTTTCAAGTCCTTCCGGACTCCAATCTTCTGAAGACTCCGTTTAGTCGACTCAAGTACACTCACACACCGCTGCTGGTTGTTTTGCTGAGCTCATTGTTTTCAGTCTTGGCCGTAATAAGACCGCTGCCTAGATTTTCTTAACTTTTTGTAACCATGCTGTCCGACGACATATGCACAGACGTATCTCGTTGTCGCTTAATTGCTTAACAATTTGTTGTAAAGTTTATTTAGGTTATAAATGTGTCGTTTTTTTTTCAGCAATCGCCAGGTTGTTATTCAGCCCACGTTCACTTCCGTACACATAGAACACCGTTGTAGCTGACGTTTCGGCAGTATCGCCTTCTTCAGAGCCGTGTTTTACCTCCCTTTCGCCGCGAAGGAACAACCGCTCAGAGTCGCATGTGGTTGATGAAGACTCCATTCTTATTCAAGTTGTGTCTTACAACGTTTACTATGTGATATGTAGAAGGTAATGAAACTTCATTTGAAAAATAACTATGAGACTTCAGAATGACACGATCGATTTGCTTCTCAGAAATTCTTCTATAAAGTTCCGCCTGGCATCTCACTGTGTTCATCAGTCATTTTTAAACGGAAGACAGCCGTTGGTTGGAAAACGCTAGAGAGTGAACAATTCTTTCCACTTCCGCTCAGTGCTTTTCCACTTCCTCACTCACATAAAAGCTGACGTTTCGTCGGATTTCGCCTTCCTCAGAGCCTGGAAAGGTCATGTTGACAGCAACCTATTCGGCCAAACACCTTCATAACCAAACAGGGAAAACGCTAAACCAAGATTTCAACCACATTGAACACAGCTCCGCACACTCACAGCTTTCTATGAGTCTCCCACTGAGTATGTCGTGTGATGACCAACCGCACAGAATTCGCATAGAAGCGTAATGTGCCCCTCCCATCAGAATAACAGACTTATATACTGCCCAATATCACGCGTGATAATGAGGCATTCTACTCTGCGGTTCATTTTCGGATTGCTGGAATTAATTCTGAACGCCTCGAGAGTTTTGCGCGATCGTGTTCTTGATTCCTGCGCTGGGATCGTGACACGTAAGCCACATTCGAACTCCTTCTACAACACGAAAGTGAAATAAACATGTATGGCTTCAAGATAGAGTAGTTGATGGCACTCTTAAAAAAAATGCTTGAGCTGCTCAATCTTCAGATGGTCCGGAAAGTACTACGCTAAAATAAGAGGGTTGGCAATGGGACAACGACTGGCACCAAGCCTCACCATTGCGTTTATGTCTAAGGTGGAAGCACCGGTGATTGATCTCGGGCCGCTACTCTACTGTAGACATATAGATGACTGTTTTGTCCTTTGCTCGACACAAGAGGAAATGGACAAGTGTTTCGAGTTGTTGAATAAACAGTCAGAGTATATCAAGCTCACCCGAGGGAAACCGAAAGAAAAATGGCTTCCATTCCTGAACGTCCAAATTAACCTATCAGAAAATGGCTACATTACGAAGTGGTACCGAAAGCCAAGTAGTAAAAACATCCTGGTACATTACCTCTCTTCTCACCCCTCTCACACGAAAAGAACGCTTGTAAGGAACATGTTTCGAACAGCAACCAACGTGTGCACGGGAAGAGAGCAGAGAGAAGAGTCCCGGAACTTGGCGCTGCAAATAGCCATTTCCAATGGCTACGAAACTGTAGCTAGGGATAGGTGTAGGGGAAATCGGAGGCCCCCAAACGGTAACTCTAGCGACAAAAACGTCCCGTTTATCCTACCCATCTCAAATGATGTAATTGCAGCTATAAAACGCTGCTTAAGAAGGGCAGATCTAGAGAATTCGGTAAACGTAGTTGAAATACCACCGAAAAATACCACTTAAGCGCCAGCTAGTTCGTAACCGACTGTATGACCGTCTATGTGCAACGCAAAATTGCATAATTTGCCCCAATGGTAAAGACGGTGATTGCATGAGCTCGGGTATAGTTTATCTGATCTCCTGTAAGGCGTGTGGAGACGAATACATTGGAGAAACGGGCAGACCCCTCCGTGTCCGCATAAAAGAACATCTAGCCGGAAAACATAGACCCAATACCCCGCTAGGCACGCATAGGACCCAGAGACATAACGGGGAGGATTTTGAAGTACGTGTCACGATCCACGCACAGGAATCAAGAGCACAAGCGCGCAAAACTCTCGAGGCGTTCTGGTTTAATTCCAGCAATCCGAAAATGAACCACAGGGAAGAATGCCTCATTATCACGCGTGATGTAGGGCAGTATATAAACCTGTTATTCTGATGGGAGGGGCACATTACGCTTCCATGTGAACTCTGTGCGGTCGGTCTTCACACGACATGCTCAGTGGAACATGACCTTTCCAGGCTCTGAGGAAGGCGAAATCCGCCGAAACGTCAGCTTTTACGTGAGTAGGGAAGTGGAATAGCACCTCGTGTTTGCTGAACGGAAGTGGAAAGAATTGTTCAATCAGTGCCGAGGTTAATAGAAAGTCAGACGTGGAAGTTGCTAGAGAGTGATTTTATTTGGTGGTTCTCTAAACTCGTACTACGTCGTTACTCTGTTAACAAGCGTTGGGCAGGTTTTCTCAAGAGTCGTTCACTAGAAGAGGTGTTCTCGACGGCACACTAAACGGGTGCCGATGGTTTCGCGATCATAGGCTGACTGATGAGCTGTCAAGTCGATTAATACGAGTTGTCACATTAATAGTGGACTATTAGATTTCTTTTTAAACAAAGTCCACTACACTCTGGATTCTGCATGTTTATTCCAGACGTTTTTCCAAAATGGTCAGCCGTGGTGTTTCGAAAAGTTATTGTAATTCATATTTTATTTATGACCACATTAAAACCACTACGATTTTCCAAAGTTTGCAATGATGGTTGCCGAATAGCTACGTTTCCAA